ATTTCTTGTTGGATGACGGACCATCACCTTCAACTCAACCTGGCTAAGACAGAACTGCTTGTGGTTTCAACAAACACATCACTTCATCACAGTTTCACCATCCAGTTAGGCACATCAACCATATCTCCTTCAAAAACAGCCAGAAACCTTGGAGTTTTGATTGATAATCAGCTAACTTTCTCAGACCACATTGCTAAAACTGCCCGGTCCTGCAGATTTGCTTTATACAACCTTAGGAAGATCAGGCCCTTTCTTCTGGAACATGTTACACAACTCCTTGTTCAAGCTCTTGTTCTATCCAGGCTGGACTATTGCAATGCTTTTTTTAGCAGGTCTTCCAGCCACTTCTATCAAACCTCTACAACTAATCCAGAATGCAGCTGCAAGATTAGTCTTTAACGAGCCAAAAATAACGCATGTCACACCTGTTCATCAATTTGCACTGGCTACCAGTAGCTGCTCGCATAAAATTCAAAGCATTAATGTTTGCCTTCAAAACCACCACTGGCTCTGCACCCCTTTACCTAAATTCATTACTTCAGAGTTATGTGCCTCTAGAAGCGTGCGTTCTGCAAGTGAACGATGCATTATTGTGTGATCTCAAAGAGGCACAAACTCACTTTCACTGACTTTTTCATTAACTGTTCTCTCCTGGTGGAATGACCTGCCCAACTCAATCCGAGCAGCTGAGTCCTTAACCATCTTCAAGAAATGACTAAAAACACATCTGTTCCAACGTTATTTAACACTTGCGCTCTCTATTCTATTTCTATTCGTACTACTTTTTCTAACACTAGCATTCTCTACTTTTTTTCTATTATGTCTTCTTTTCTTTTCATTTATTATAAAAAAAAATACAAACTTGCTACATTGACTGCGTTAGGCTAACTGTGACCTGTCACAGCACTTACAGTATATATTATTGCCCTTTTGTTGATTTTGATTGTTTCTATTGTTGTTTGTAAGTTGCTTTGGATAAAAGTGTCTGCTAAATGACTAAATGTAAATGTAATTTTAAATATAGATAATGATTAATATAATTTGTTTATATAATTTATTATAATATAATTTAGTGTATACTTCTAAACTTAAGCTACTGGTTGAAAGTTCACCCAAAAATAAAAATTCTGTCATCGTTTACATCATTTACTTACTATCCCCCAATTTTTCCATAGCTGTATGAACTTGTTTCTTCTGCTGAACATAAAATACGATATTTTGAAGAATGTGGGTAACCAAACAGATGCTGGCCCCCATTTATTTATTTATTTAAATACTTCTAAACTTAAGCTACTGGTTGAAAGTTCACCCAAAAATAAAAATTCTGTCATCGTTTACATCATTTACTTACTATCCCCCAATTTTTCCATAGCTGTATGAACTTGTTTCTTCTGCTGAACATAAAATACGATATTTTGAAGAATGTGGGTAACCAAACAGATGCTGGCCCCCATTTATTTATTTATTTAAATTTACTACTGCTACTACTATACTATGCTACTTTACTATTTGTAGCAGTTAATTAAATTATGTACATGTATGTGTATTTAAATAACTTTTTTTTCTAAGTTGAGGGCATATAAACGGTGTGAAAACGCTATGTGTGTTGATTGGCATTAGAGGGCGCCACAGATCCATCTGCGATCAAAATCTGATATTTAATCTGAACCGAATGTTTGCAGGAAACTTCAGATGGGCATAAAGTCACTAGGCAAAATGTACTTTTGATTAAAAAGACACTTGATTAAACTTACATCAGTTATGTGCAAAGCAATCCCTCCTTTTTGTGGTTTTAATATTAATGTTATTTAATCAGTCATTTGATATTCTGAAAGTAAATCAGATTAAATGTAATTTACAAATCTAAAGCAAAAGCAAACTAAGAGCACACCTAATTGCAATGATCAGTTCATTTGATTGAGTGTTCAGCTCTATTCATGTATTAACTGAGCTCAGTCTCTAATGAAGAGTGCATTGATTAACACTTTAGCTGCCATCAGGTCTGCTCATAAAGGAAGGGCTTTAGTTTGTGTTCATTGATATTTGGTACTGACATCAATTAAACACTAACTAACACTAGATACAGTGTAAGATTGCCATAGACAATCATATGAGTTTGGAACAACATGAGAGTGAGTAAACAAGTTGAGAGGTTTAAAGCAGTGTCTTTATGCATATACATACTTTTCATTTAGTTTATCAACACACTAAAAGTATTTACGTTATCACAGATAAATCTATAT